GATTTGCCACAAGAGAAGTAAAAATGGTTAATTACCCATGAGTGATAATCCATCTCATTATTGAAAGACTTGCTGATTAAAAGCAAGAGATGCCATTTCCCCTGATCATATTAGGAAGGGTTTTTTTTTTTTAATGATCCTCTTACTTACTGGACAGAATGTATGTTAACTGGCATAAGTACTCTGGGAAGCAGCTTGGCAATACATCAGGAGCCGTGTGTTTATTTGTTTTCTGCTTGTGAACATCTTGTGTTCTTTTCTCATCTCTCTCTGGTGGTCTTAATTTTTTTGACTGAATTGAGAATTTTAAATAATAAAGATAACTTTTTAATCAGATTTTTGAGTTAATTAATTAATTTAAGAGAGAGGGCAGGAGCGGGAGGGGTAGAGGGAGAGGAAGAGAGAATCTCAAGAAGACTCCATGCTGAGCACAGAGCCCGACGTGGGGCTCCATCTCACGAGCCTGAGATCACGACCTGAGCCAAAACCAGGAGTCAGTTGCTTGACCAGCTGAGCCACCCACGTGCCCCAAATAGAACTTTATTTTTAAGTTTATTTATTTATTTATTTAAGTAATCTCTACACCCAACGTGGGCTCAAACTCACAACCCCGAGATCAAGAGTAGCATGCTCCACTGACTGAGCCAGACAGGTGCCCCTGAAGATAACTCTTTATCCTATTTGTAGATCCTTTTCACAATCTGTTGGCTTATTTTTTTAAACATCCAGGTCTATTGATCTGTTCTTTGTGATTCTGTTATTGCTCCTAGGTTTTGAAAGTCCTCTTCACTTAAGTGGTTGTATTAAAGTCTGTTTACTTCTGATTTTTTTGTTTGATTTCAAAAATATTTCAAGGGTAATTCTGTCTAGAATTTACTTCGATTCTTTTTTTTTTTTTTTTTTAATTAGAGAGGGAAGAGGTGAGGTCAGAGGGAGAGGGAGAGAGAGAATCTTAAGCAGGCTCCATGACGTGGGGCTTGATCTCACAACCCTGAGATCATGACCTGAGCTGAAATCAAGAGTCTGATGCATAACCAGCTGAGCTACCCAGGCTCCTAAGTTTACTTTGATTCTTAGGTTAATTGAGAGTCTCTTTTGTTTTCCCAGAATTGTTAATTGGCTATTCTGATGTCAATTATTAACCCTTCCCCTCCCCAATTCATTTGTGAGGCCTCCTTTTGTGTTTATTAAATTATGACATGTTATTTATAGACTACATTTTCCAGACTATTTTATTTCTCTAATCTATTTTTCTTATTGCCCTCTGTTTTAATTATTGTAATCTTAAAACATTGGTTATCCCCCTACCTTCTCCTCTTCTAGGGAGCCTTGCTTGCTTAATTCCCTAGCTGAAATTTAAAACCATTTAAATAAGTTAAAAAAAAAAGAACAAAGAACTTTCTGGATTTTCAGGAGGAATTACATTAAACAATCTGTAAACTGATTTCTGAAACAGATCACTATCATTTCAATCTTTTGCTTTGTCATTAACAAGCATATTCTGTATCTTTACATACAAATCTATTTTTTTAGCATTTCTTAATTTTTTAAAATTGATTTAAATTCAATTTAGTTGACGTGGTGTATTATTAGTTTCAGGGATAAAATGTAGTGATTCATCAGTTGCATATAACACCCACTGCTCATTCCATCACATGCCCTCACTAATGCCCATCACCCATTTAGCCCATCCCCTGCACCCACCTCCCCTCCAGCAACGCTCAGTTTGTTTCCTATAGTTAAGAGTCTCTTATAGTTTGCCTCCCTCTCTGTTTTCATCTTATTTTATTTTTCCCTCCCTCCCCCCTATGTTCATCTGTTTTGTTTCTTAAATTCCACATATGAGTGAAATCATATGGTATTTGTCTTTCTCTAACTGATTTATTTCACTTAGCATAATACCCTCGAGTTCCAAAGACATCTTTGTGAACTTTTTTTCCTTTTCTTAATATTGGTCAGATACATTTTCCATTCTGGTTGTCTCTATATATTTTATATTATTATTGTCATTTGAAGTAGGATCTTTAAAAATTACATTTTATTGCTGACATATGGGAATATTACTGAATTTTGAGTATGTATTTTGATTAGCCACTTCGCTGAGACCTTTTTAATTTGCGTAGTTTGTCAGATTACTACTTTAGTTTTTTGAGGCTATGCAGCCATTTCATATGCACATAATAATCATTCTATCTGTTTCCAGTGTTTATATTTTCTATTTCTTTGGCCAGAACTTCCAAGATCATATTCAGAGATACTGGTGGTGGAAGGCATCCTTATTTTGCTCTTTGCTTTCAAGGGAAAGCTTCTGACGTTTTCCTTGATGTTGCTTCTAGCTTGTATGAGATCTGTCGCTTTTACCCAAAGGGGCTGTTATGATTTACAACCACAACAAAGATTCCTTTCTAGCCCTAGCCCATTGTGCATCTGGCACAAAGTACTAGGAGAATAATTGTTTGGAAGTGTTTGCTCTTTCTAGAATCCCCAGCCTGCTCCAAACTTTGAGCCTACAGAGCCGGTCCATTTCCAGCCCTTGATCTCCCTCTACTGAAAGCCCCACTTCTGGGGATTCGTTCCTTCCTGGCAGGACCTTGAACCCTCTTCTGCCAGCCCTCCTGGCTGATGTAAGAGCCAGTGCCTGACACTGGACAGTGGCAGGGCTAGAGTCACTCAAGCAGACTCCCCACGGAGCTGAGAGCCCCACTCGGGGCTCCACCCCAAGACCTGAGACCATGACCTGAGCCGAAATCAAGAGCCAGACTGAGCCACCCAGGTGCCCCAAGACACTTCTTAATAGGATGCCCTGTAGAAGACCCCTGTGGATTCTCAGTTGTCTGGACTTCTGCCCTTACCCTATCTGCCCCCTTTCTTTTCTCAGACCAGCTCCGTGAGATCTCCAGTACCCCTACTTTGCCCTCTGAGTGTGCTGGAGCACTGCCAGTCCTGTGCTCTGGAGGTCTTCCCAGTCCAGGGGGAAAACAGACACAAAACAAGGGTAACCCAGTACAGGATGAAAAGGTCTCATTCATACTCTATGAGACTCCGAGATTGGAGCAACTAACTGTCTAGAGCAGTCAGAGAAGGCTTTTAGAGGAGGTGACATTTGAGCTGGTCTGAAAGCAAGGGTAGAAATTCTGTGAGGCAGATGAGAGAGAAGGGCTTCAATTATGATTATTTCGACAGACTTTGCATTACTGTTGCTGTTCAGAATGGGATCTGTAAAAACTATATATCATTACTGGCATGTAGGAATATTAATTGAATGTTGCATAATTATTTTGGAGCGATCTCTAAAGGCTTAGGGGCCCAGAGGAGTCCAGCCTCTTTGGGGAAAAAGACAAGTTTGCAGAGAGATGGGACAGTGCTGTCTGAGTTGGTTAGTGCTCCTGGGGTTCAGGGGTTGGAGGAGGGTGGCCCCCAATAATGGGTATGATCCAGGAAGATTTCCAAAGAGATAGGATGGGAGCTGGCCTTGAAGCATAGAGAGGATTTGGGTAGAGTGGGAAGGGGAGATAAAGTGGAAGAGGCGGAGAAAAAGAGCATCCCCATCCCCACTGTGCACCTGCCAGGCATATTTAATACTTTTCATATTTAGTTTTCCTGACAGCTCTGCTCGGTAGATGGTAGTAGTACCCTTGTTCTGCAGTTGAGGAAACTGAGGCTCAGGGACTTTAAGTGACTTAGCGTAACTGGAGAGCCTAGTTTCTGAGCCATGCCTTCAGTGCGGCCCTGCTGTCCTATGTACGCAATTGCTTTCTCCAGATAGAACTCGCATATCATACAATTCACCCACTTCAAGTGGACAATTCAGTGGTTTTAATATATTCCCAGAGTCATGCAACTATCATCCCCATCCAGTTTTAGAGCCCCCACCCCTGAGCTGCCCAGCCCTAGGCAACCATTATCCTGCCTTCTGTGTCTAGACATTCGTCTGCTCTGGACATTTCACGTCAGTGGCCTCCTAAAATACCTGATCGTTTGGGACTGGCTTCTGCCACTGAGCATCCTGTTTTCAAGGTTTATCCACACTGTAGCATGTATTGGTATTTTGCTTCTTTTTATGGCCAAACAATATATATATATTTTTAAGATTTTTCTTTATTTGTCAGAGAGAGAGGGAGGGAGAGAGAGGGAGCACAAGCAGGGGCAGCGGCAGACGGAGGGAGAAGGCGGCTACCCGCTGAGCAGGAGCCAGATGTGGGATTCGATCCCAGGACCCTGGGATCATGACCTGAGCCGAAGGCAGACACTTAACCTACTGAGCCACCCAGGCGCCCCAAACAATATTCTTTTTGATGGATAATACCACATTTTGCTTATCCACTCGGTCTGTGGATGGACGGGTGGGTGGTTTGCACGTTGGAGTGTTGTGAATAATGCGGCAGTGAAGGCCCCCGTGTGGTATGTTTCCAGTTCTCTCTGGTGTACCCCTACAAGTGGAATTGCTGGGTCAGGGGGTAACACTGGGCTTACCCGTTGGAAATGGCCAGACTGTGCCCCATGGTGGCCTCTCGGCTGCCTCTGACGCAGGCTTGCCTTTGGAGTGACAGGGCTGGGAAGAAGGTCACACCATGAAGTCTGTGTGAACCACCTGTTTTCCAAGGCGACTGTTACAGAGTAGCGTTGAGACGGCGGCCTCACTGTGGAGTCTTCGGTGAGTGCAGAGGGCGGACTCGGCAGGGGCTCAAGGACGCTGCCGTGAGTGCCCATCATCCTGAGCAGGCACAGCCACCCCTGCTGCACTTGAGCTCCTCGGCCGTGCTCCCAGACAAGGTGCTGCGCCAAACCCACGGGTTCAGGGTGCAGGAGAGGGACGGGTGTGACCCATGGTAATGAGGGCTCTCAGAAGAGGGCGGGCAGGCTTTCGAACCTGGCACGGGGGAGACAGGTGAGAGAGAAGGGAGGTGGGGAGCAGAGGCAGGGCCGGGGGCTCTGCGGTGTGGGGCGGGTCCCCAAGCAGCTGTGGCTAACTCTGCTCTGTCTCTGTCCTCTGGCTGCAGACCTGGCTGAGTGCAAGCTGGTTTCCTTCCCCATTGGCATCTACAAGGTCCTGCGGAATGTCACCGACCAGATCCACCTCATCACGCTGGCCAACAACGAGCTCAAGTCCCTCACCAGCAAGTTTATGACCACGTTCTGTCAGCTCCGAGGTAGGCCCCACTCAGCCCAGCTGGGAGGGCATGGCCAGCCCTCGGCCTTCAGGTGCCAGCCCTGTGTGGACAGTGTCCACTGGGGCCAGGGTCGGGTCAGCTAGATTTGGGAAATCATTCCCGAGGGAGGCTCCAAGGCTGGACCTGTGTCCTCCCTATGGCCTGGAGGTCTCTACTTGTCGCTCCTCCCTCTAGCTCGTTGTGAATCAGATCGACTGATGGTCAAGGGTGTGGGTTCAGGGGTGACTGTTTTGTTCAGAACAGACCGGTGGACTGTGTGGGGTCCCGAGGCCCACAAGGAGTTATTTCTCAGTAGGCTTGAACAAGCCCCCTTCCTACCCCGCCACCCTAGCCCTGGTTTCCCACGCTGCTTGCTCGGGTCAGGAGTGACAGGTGCTGGGGAGGTTGGAGTTTGCTGTCCTGAGCACACACAGCAAGTGGACAGAGGTGCTTGGCTGGGCGACAGGCAGGCGACAGGCAGGTGGGCATTGTGGATTCTCTTGAAATGGCTTCTCCAGCTGGGCAAGCTAGATGCAGTGGCCACCACAGTGCCCGCTCCCCTCTCCATAGAGCAGCCCCTCTACCCTTCCGAGAGAGTCCCCTGCCGCTCAGGGAGCCATGGGTAGGAGAATTGGGGAGGGCACAGGGGGCATAGGAGAGGCGAGTCGTGCCTTCTGGAATTCTGTCCGGTAGGGGCATGAAACAGGTCTCAGGGCCTGTTTAGAGAAACAAGTAAGTCAAATGCTGATGCAGCAAGAGGGACGTGCACAGACGTACCTCACACGGTCGATTTTTGGCATCCTAGGGAGGGCAAGGGCATCGTGCAGAGCCCTGAGTGGAGAGCGAGGCGTGAATTGGCAAACACAGCCCAGGGACAAGCAAGCTACGGGCAGACCTGGAAAGACCGCCGGCTAGCCGCAAGCATGCGGGCCGAGGAGGAAGGACTGGTCTGCAGAGTCATTTCTGAGTGATGCTCACAGGGCTCTCTGCGTTGGTGCCTAAACCACTGGGGGGTGGGGGGGTTCCAAGGCAGCACTTGGCCCCCCGGAGGCACTGTGGGCACTTTTACCCAGGCTAACTTTTCCCGTCCGTCCTTTTCTTGTGGCTGCTTCTCTGCATGGATGAGATGGGCCCTCACAGCCAGCAGGGCCCATGGACCACAGCGCTCAGCCCTGGCGGAAATTAGAATCATCTGGGGCACTTTTCTACAAACATAGTTGCCTTAGCTCCACCCCAAGACCAGTTGAGTCAGAATGTCTGAGTATGGGGCCTGGTGAGCGTCTTTTAAAACCTATTCCAGGCATGCTAAAGTGCCGAGGTTGAGGCCATGCTCGGGTTATACACGTGAACACCTAAGAGACTAGCATGTGAGTGACGAGCATCTGGGCGTGAGACTGGTGGGGACTGCGGCAAACTAAAATGCGCCCTGCTCAGCTTCAGCCAGATGCGCCCCGGGAGTGTTCTGTTTTATTCAATAGAAGCTAGAGAGACGGGCTTAATGGGGATTGTATCAATTTTTATATAATCTGGAAGCCGATAAAACTCTTGCACGGTCGATTTAGCCCATGGGCCATCAGTTGGAAGAATCTCCCGTAATCGATCAGAGCTGTCTCTGCCATGCCCTTTCGTGGATGGAAAAGGAAGGTCAGGGAGAGGAGGCTTGTCAGACATCTCAGAGCTGCACACCCACATCCACCACGCAGGCCAGGGCGGCCTTTCCAGGCCACCTGCGGTAGCCCACGGATCCCCTCGACATGTTTGTTTCCCAGACGAGAGTAGAAAGATCAAAGATGCATGGTGGGTGCTGCAGGGCCCTCCAGGAAGGGCAGTCAGGTAGCACGAGAGTTCATTTGTGCTCTCCTTCATTCAGCTTTCCCTTGAGCAGCTGCCGTATTCCAGACGTCTATCTGGAGGCTGGGGAACAGAGACTGGTAGACCAGGTCCGTCCCTCAAGCAGCCCAGGGTCACCGAACAGACTTGTCCACAGCACCAAGTCCTGTGATGCTGGTGTGGAGGGCATGCTGAGGCCGCCGGGAAGGAAACTTCATGCTCCCTGCAAGTGGCGTGGGCAGCGGGTGGGTATGGAAAGCAAGGGCTTTCAAAGGACTTGACGTTTGTCAGCGCCTTGGCGGATGGATAAGTAGGCCCTCTCTAGCGGGCAGTGACACATGCCAGAGAAATGCATGTGGAGCCCTGCGCATTTGTGTGCCTTCTCTACGGAAATGTGTTTATCATAATAATACCCTTCCGGTCAGAGGTCCACTGAAGGATGCAGTTGGCCCTTCCTCCCTGCGGCTGGCTGCTCCTGACTCCCCCACGCTGCCCTGGATCACAAAAGGAAAGCTGTGCTGTACGCAATAATTGGACCTCACCGAGGTGGCGACGGCAGGAGCCGGTGGTGGGCTGGGGACCAGGGGCAGGGAGGGGCTGGAGCTGAGAGCCGCACCTGGCTCCCGGACCCATGGCTCTGGGCCCCAGCCTGGATTTGTGGTTTCTCTTTCAATTGAAAAAACCTCTCCTTTTATGTGTGAAAGGGAAGCTTGAATAAGGCTTTGCTGGCTTGCCAGCTTCCTCTGCTTGGTTCTTGATGGAGGAGGTGGACTGCCTTGCTGCTGGGGGGAAAGCCGTGTCTGCCTCCTCCCCACCTGCCACATTGTCTCCGGTGGGCGCCCTGGGGACTGGCTTCTGTTGGGCTTATGCCCCCCCTCGGAGTTGGGTCATCTTTAAATGATTCCATCCCCTGGATGCCTTTCATCCGGGTTATAAAAGAAGAAAGCAAAACCTGAGAGAGCCTGTGGCACCAATGGAATCCGTGCAAAGGGCAGGCACGCCCTGTGGAGTGCGTCTCATTGTCTGACTCTGGCTCTTCTGTCCCTTCTTCTCCCGGGGGCTTGTCTCCCCACTTCCTCCCAATACGCGTCAGTCAGCTCTTCTCATAACCGTGTCCGGGGCCTGCACACCTGTGGAAAGCCATAAAAGCCACCCAGCTGAGAAGCAGAGGCTGTTGATTCAGAACCGGCCCTAGTGGGGGGGGGTAGCCAGCAGCTGTCACCGGGGTCTGGCAGAGACTCAGGCAGGCAGAGGAGTGGGATAAAAGGGAAGGCTGTGCCCTGCTGAGGGGGAGGGGAGGAGCTGGACGCGGGCCAGCTCGCAGCGGGCATCCTGTGTGATTGGTTAGGGTGCACTTTGGCTCTGTGCAGGTGACCTGAAGTGGTCCGTTGGTAATCAAGTCCTGGCCATTTGGGGCTGATTGTTACGGGAGTCTTCTTTGGCTAACTGGACCATCCATAGAGACTGCCGTCTGAGTCCCTGCGAGTGTGAGCGAGAGCAGACTGGCCACTGAGCCGGTTCCCACAGCGGATGGGTTGGCTCCCTGGGCAAGGGGGCTACAGGGTGTGGGTTCGAGTGCTGTTTTTATATGCAGCCTGGCCATTGTCTGCGTGTCTGTTCAGTTGCTCACAGCCTGCCTGTCAGCTCAGTATAGCAGTTCCTCGGGAGCACCTGTTGTGCTGTGGGTACAGACAGGTAAGTAATAACCCGAGGGTCCGAATTTGCAGTGCACTTAGCCCTCGAAGCTTCTCGCAGAGGTTTGACATGTGTCATCTCGGTTAACCCCCTGGCACCAGCCATTTGGGGTGGATGGGACAATAAAGACCCAGATGCGGGCCTTGAGGGGTCCCCAGTGTCTCGGGGGGAGGTGGGTGTGAAAGCAGCAGCCACCTTAACACCCGAGGGGGACACTCAGCAGACATTTACAGGAAGTCTGGTGGGCAGGCCGAGGAGGCGGCAATCAAGTCTGCTTCGAGTGCATGTATTAGTTTGCTAGGGCTGCCCAAACGGAGTACTGTGGCCCAGGGGGCTTCACCAACAGACATGTATTGCCCACAGCCCTGGAGAAGGGAGTCAGGAGGTTTGGTTTCTTCGGAGGCCTGTCTCCTAGGCCTGCAGGTAGCCACTTTCTCGCTGTGTCTTCATGTGGCCTTCCCGTGCATGAGTGTTCCTGGGGTCTCTCTGCATGTCCTCGCCTCCCCTTCTTCTCGGGACACCAGTCAGATGGGATTAGGGCCACCCTAATTTGAACACAAGCCTCATTTGAACATGAGCATATCTTAAAGACCTCACCTCCAAACACAGCCACACTGTGAGGCACAGGGGGCTAGGGCTTCAACATAGGAATTGTGGGGGGACACCATTCAGCCCAAAACACTGGGGAATCAGGAACCTCTAGAGGAAATGGCTTGGAGGGGGCACTGGACAGAAAGAAAGAGGGAGTTCCCACGGCATCGTTCAGGAAGGTGGGAGGTGTGTGTGGGAAATGGACTAAAACAGTACAAGACTGAACGTTACGGAGCAGGGGGGATATGGTGTGGCGTCAGCGACTGCCTTGAGCGAGTGAGCGGTCCTCAGAGAGCCTGTTAGGAGGGAGCCGGGGCAGGTGACCTGAAGGCAGCGGGAGATGGTGTGGGGGTGTCTCCCTCCACTTCCGGTGTTGCCCCGGCCCATTGGATTACTTTTCTCTAGCTGATGGCACTGCGTGCGTAAAGGGGGAGGAAAGAGGGTATCCAGAACAGTGCTGGAAAGCAGGGCAGACACTGAAGCCTGCAGTGGTCGGTTGGACGCTGACGTCTCGGTTTTAGTCTGGGGTGGGGCAGATCTACTCTGTTGGGCACACATCTTCTGTTCCCTCTGCATAGCCCACCACTGGAACAGTGTGGTCCGGGAGGCTCTGTCTCACCTGAGTCGTTCACAGTTGCCAACGATCAAGAGCTCCTACCTGATCCCAAGGTAGTGGTAAGATTGTGGCCTTTTGCATCAGTTTTTGCCTTCGGTCCTCAAGGATGTCTGTCCCCTGGGGTTACCTGGCCGAGCTCAAGGGCGCAAAGGCCAAGAAACCAAACCTCCTGACTCCCTTCTCCAGGGCTGTGGGCAATAAATGTCTGTTGTTGAAGGCCCCTGGGCCGCAGTACTGTTTGTGACCCCTGTGCACATGCTTATGGGCA